TTAGTATAGTTTTAATGTAATATATATAATAAAATAATAAATCAGCCTTCTGAAACATGGAGTCAGATCCTCGTCCCTTCCCTCATCCTCAGACCCCTGTGAACACCATCACACAACCCTATGAGCAAAGCTGCCTGTGATCTGCAAGTTCCAGATGAACAAAACAGGAGAATCCCTCTTCCAGATATCCTGAGCTCAGTTCTTCAGTGGTTGATGGGTTACTCCAAGTCACCCTCCTGTGAATTTGTCTTTTCTTCCCTCCGAGGGCAGGTTATGTTTGGAAGACAAGAAATGGGGTGAGGAGCTTGGCTGTGAGGCTGGGAACCCTGTGGGCATGGCTCAAGGTGGGACCTCAGCAGCACAAGGAGCTTTGTCACTCAGCCAAAGGCTCAGTGAGAAAAGAGATCCTTTGGGAGCAAAGAAGGGAAGGGAATGTGCCAAACAGGCTCCAAGGAGGATCCCAATGGGCAGGGGCAGCAAGGTGAGAACAGGAGGGGACACTGGGTGTAAAACACACTCAGGAGAGGGGCAGATCCTTCCCAGCACTGCTGACACCTCAACAGGACACTGCTCTGGTTCTCCACCACCATTTCCATCTCCAGGGCTTGGTGGCCTCCAGGGTGAGGTGGAACCCATCTCTAACTGAGTGATGCTCTGCAGAGCTGTGGGCTGTGTCTGCCAGGGACAAAGAGTTTCAATTTATAGAGGGGACGGAAAATCTGTATCTGCTGGTCAGTGCTGTCCATCTTCTACAGATGGACTCAAAGATCTTAAAAGTCTTTCCCAACCTAAGTGATTCTGTGTTGTTCTCACTCACAGTCCTGTTTTCTGCTGTATTGATGAACATGGATTTCAGCAAATAACTCTGCCCACACCCGCTCTCCTCATACCATACAACAATTCTGATTTCAAGCTACAGCATTAGCAAGATTTTGTAGCACTGGGGACCTGACAAAGTGAGAGACTTCTGGAAGCGTTCCCTGCCCGTTGTGTGTGACACTAGAGGGCATGAGCAAGGCAACAAATCCCTTGTCTGACACCACTGGGAAGCTCAAGTGCAGTGAAGGCCAAGGAGCTTTTCTCAGTCTATCATTTAAAGAGAAGAGAAGCAGACATGAGGTGTCCCCAGCTGGCAGGATGAGTGCCAGGGTGCCAAGTCTCAGCAAGGCCAACTGAGCAACAATTTTCTGAAGGCAGTTCCAAAAGCTAATCCACCCCCAGCAAGAACAGGACATTTGTTTGCTTCACTGCTGTAACCCCACTGAGACTTCTTCATTTTCTCATGACATGTTTTGCTAAGTCTGCATGGGAGGAAATGTGTTCCTCTGTGAGAGGCAAACACAGGCTGAGGGCACACAATTCCCTCCCTTCAGCTGAAATCTACACAGAGAACAACAACTTTGAAGGTGCCCATCAACCCAGCACAGATCAGGGTGGTCCTGTGGGTTAAAATAATGCAGTTATGCCATTCCCAGCCCAGTTTGGGTACCAGGTTTGGCAACAGGGCTGTCCAGTCCCAGCTCCTCCCTGCCTGTGCTCCCAAGCCCATGCCAAGGCTCTCTGTACTCCTGCAGTGCTAAAGCTTGGTTTAAAGCTGCATCTCAAGCTTTGCAGGAGTTGCTGATACAGTGGGTGGGAAGGAGCACATGAACATCACAGAATCCCAGAATGGTTTGGGTTGGAAGGGACCTTAGAGCCCATCTGGTTCCACTCCCCTGCCATGGGCTGAACACCTTCCATTAGAGCAGACTGAAGACTCATCCAGCCTGGCCTTGAACACTTCCAAGGATGTGTTCCAGACAGCCACAGCTTCTCTGAGCCAACTTCCATTGCCTGGGGTGAGTCCATATCCTCTGATCACTCCAGACTCAAACTCATCACTTAGAGCACTGGTCCCACTCCTGGAGCACCATTACTGTGGTAAATCCAGAGTGACTCCTTCAGAACATTCCAGACTTGCCTCTTGCAACATCTCCTCAAGCCTTGGCCAAACCTTTGCTAACCCCAGTTATGGGAGAGCTGGAGATGAACCAATCCTGAACCAAATCTCACCTCTGGAGTCTAGGTCGAGTCAAAGTCAAGGACAGCACAAAGCAAAACATTACATGGGCTTCAGCCACCCCTACCTCAGCCCTGTGCCATGGCAGCACTAAATCTCATTGTGCCACAGCTCCAGAAGAACACAGCTCAGGCAACATCACCACATCCCTGCTCTGGGAAAGACTCAGCCCCATTTTGGTGTCAGGAACAGGCAGTGCCTTCGCAGGGATGGCTCAGGAAGGCTGAGCCCTGCAGGGTGTTGCTGGATTAAAGCCTCTGCACAGATAAACACCTCTGAGGAAGAGGGAGAACTTAAAACTAACAACAACACTAAAACCTAAACAAACACTAAGGAGTTGAGGGCTTTGCTTTGGAATAAAAGATTCATGAACATATTGATTGAGTCAAGGGGCTGGGACAAAGGCTGACAGCCGTGTTTATTTTTTAGCATCTATCTGTGGACTTACCAGGCTTTTGCCCAAGCCAAATATTGTGTTAAGGAAGTTTATGAACTGACACATCAAGTGTGGTTGGGTCACCTCCAGCTCAGCCCACGGTTGTCTGAGCATGGTGCCACCAAAATATGTCTGCAGGAGTTACAACAGCTCAACACGTGGGCCTGGACTATCACCAGCAGGGGATGGTGCAGCCAAGCAAGGGGCAGAGATTGAGGAGGAATTCCAGACTGGGTAAAGTGAAGGGCTGTTGGCAGACCCAGAGGTGCTGCTGCCCCAGCTGCTGCTGAACACACTGAATTCTGAGAGAATTTAGGAAAAACCGCAGCATTGCAGTAGTTCAGGTGTTGCCTCAGTTTTGGCATCTTGTGCCAACACCTGGGGACTGCCACGGGCAAGGGGTGGGTCAGTGCTTCTGCTGAGAGCTAAATATGAGCACAGAAAGGCTCAAAAATCCACCAAGGGGTTTGTGGAAAGAGTCCTTCAAGACCTAACACTTGCACAGTTCCAGCCACTGTCAGTGATCAACCTGCTGCACCCACCACACATCCCTGCTCCCAGATCCTCACACGAGGAGCCAGAGCCCTTCCACGGTGTGCAAAGCCTCTGAAACACCAGGCATGCAAAAACCACATGGAAAACCCCCAAAAAACAATCCTTGGAGAGGTTTAACAGACTGCAAGAAGATTCATGGGGTTTTTCTCACCCTGCCTCCCTGTTAGACCCTTCCCATGCAGCTCAGTCACCCTGGAACAGCTCCACAGCACAGGGTCTGGCTCTCAGGGAACTGAACATCACACAATCCCACAGCAGCAGGAGCTGGGGGCTTCACAGATGGGGGATTGGATGGAAATGATGGTTTAGAGCCTGTGGAGAAGCTGAGACCCTTTGCTAAATCCCCACCTGCCTGCAGGGATGGACACAGGAAGGAAGGGACCAGGGTGCTACAGCAATAACCCCAGAGCTGTGTTTTATAGTGCTGTTGATGTGAAACACCACTTTAAAAAAATCCACAATTCTTACAGGAGAGAGAAAAGCCCAGAAGCCTTAAGTGGCCATTTTAAAGCTTTTAGCTATTTAATTGTGGCTTTCCACACTCTGATAAAGAAACCAGGGCTGCTGCCACAAGAAGCCTCTCCTCCCCAAAGTGCTCTCTGCATCCCTCATTTCCAGGAAATGCTGATAAAGCATCTTGGAGAGATTTCTGAGTATCCCAGAGTGGAGGAGGACATGCAGCCCTGCAGGTGACATGGTGGCAGTCACCCAAAGGGGTGACAGAGTGAGTGGGTGGGCAGGGGAGATTCTGAACCCCACTGAAAATCATCTTTTCAGTGTTTCATTCCTGCTGCATTCCTGCTGTCCCAAAGAAGGCTCACAGGAATCAATGGCTGCTCTGAACACCAGCTGCACACAAAAGCCAGTGCTGGATGGACACATCTCCAGTCATGGAGCTCTCCATGTGTCCAAGCCTTGGGCTGGGCTCTGCACCATCCATCAAAGCCTGGCAAGGTCTCCATGGGGGAACAACCACCCAGCTCTCCTGGAAAACACTGAGGACTGTCCATTAAACTCCTCAATCACCACCAGCCTCACACCTCTGCACTGCAAATACAAGGGAACCTTTTCAGATACCCCAAAGCTGGTGGATTCCAGCTCTGCTTCCAAAACTTTTGCCTGCACTCATGGTCCCAATCCCATTTCTTCTCAGTAAGTCCTCAGCACACTTTTGGACTTGCCTCAAGGCCTTCAGCTCACTTTTGGACATGAAGCATCAGTTTCCTGCTTGCTTTAGGCACTCTTGGAGCATGACCTGTAAATCTACACAAAGCTGCATGAAAAACAAGGGGTTCCCTTCAGTAAGGCACATTTTGTTGCTCTAATTTTTCCTTACTGTTTGCTGGTTTCCCTCCTCTCCAGCTCACAGGTGTCACAGGCAAATTTTATGAAAAATCCTTTCCTTAGGATTTTTTCTCCTGAGAAGCCGGGAGGCCTCAGGAACAAAATGCAAACATTGATTATCTGCTGCTGTGGAATGCAACAGGTGCATCTGGAACTGGTCTCATGTGGTTGTTTCTAATTAATGGCCAATCACAGTCAGCTGGCTTGGACTTTGTCTGAGACATAAGCCTTTGTTATTCATTCTTTCTTTTTCTATTCTTAGCTAGCCGTCTGACGAAATCCTTTCTTCTATTCTTTTAGTATAGTTTTAATGTAATATATATAATAAAATAATAAACCAAGCCTTCTGAAACATGGAGTCAGATCCTCGTCTCTCCCCTCATCCTAAGGGATGCGAACACCGTCACACCCAGGTCTTTAAAACCCCACAATGCCGGAAGAAAAAAACCCCAACAAGGCAAGCAGGAAATAAAAAAAGCAGGTGAGGAAAGGAAAAATAATAAAAAAAAGAGTTTTCTATGGCCCAGATGAGTTCAGCCCCTGTGCTAACCACGCCGAAGCAGCAATTCCTAGTGGGACGGGGGGGATCCCGCCGTGAGTACTCACTGGTGCTTGTGCTAGTGCCGATGGTGTTGATGGTGGTGGGGACGGAGGAGGAGGAGTAGAGGGGCAGGTGGCCGTTCTCACAGGCCAGGTTTTTGTCCTGCCAGCTGGAGGCGCTGACGCTGATGCCGGAGTCCCTGGAGTTCTGCCAGCCGTTGTTGAGCTTGTCGTCCGAGTTCTGTCTTTGGTGATAGTAGTGAGCCTGCCCGTAGTCCAGCGAGTCCGAGCGGCCCCGGCCCTGCCCGCCAAAGCCCCCCGACGACGACGACGACGACGACGAAGACGACGTGCGGTCCTCCAGGTGGTTGAGCCACATGGCCAGGGCGCTCCTGTCCTCCAGGGAGGTGGCAGGGTGGATCAAGGCGTAGGAGAGCAGCTGCCTGCTCTCCTCGATGTGCTGGTTGTGCTCGATGGAGTGCGCCAGGATTTTGGGCAAGAGTTTCATGTACTCGACTTTCGCCTCGATGTTGCCGGGCTTCAGCAAAGGCAGGTGGGTCAGCAGGAGGGAGATCACTTTGTCCTTGGATTCCTGTTGCCACTGGTTAATGATTCCTGTTGAAGGGATAAGGAGGGGGAAAAAAGGGGATTAATGAGAAATGGATAAACAGAAATAATAAAGAAATAACCGGGTCCAGGCAGGGTAAATGAGAGACGCCGAAGGGATTTGCACGTGTGTGGTTGTCACAGATGTGTTTTATGAAAAATCCTTTCCTTAGGGTTTTTTCTCCTGAGAGGCCTCAGGAACAAAATGTAAACATTGATTATCTGCTGCTGTGGAATGCAACAGGCGCATCTGTGATTGGTCCATGTTGGTTGTTTCTAATTAATGGCCAATCACAGCCCAGCTGGCTCGGATTCTCAGAGAGTCAGGAGCTTTTGTTTTCATTCTCCTTCTTGCTTGCTTCTGATGAAATCCTTTCTTCTGTTCTTTTAGTATAGTTTAAATATAATATATATCATAAAATAATAAATCAAGCCTTCTAAACATGGAGTCAACATTTTCATCTCTTCCCTGGTCCTGGGACTCCTGTGAACACCACCATGTGTGGCAGCACAGCATGAGCATCTCCCTGGCAAGGGGGTCACTGTTGTATTGCACTAAATAGTTATCCAGACACGGAGTTTTACAGGTCACCACCCTCCAAAACCATTGTCAGGGCAAAGCTTGCCAAACTGGATGCCAAGAGTTACCAAATGCTCCTGAAAATCCCTGAAAAAACCAAACTACACCCAGCTCTATGTGGGAAATGCATTTATAGCCATTTTCCAACTCTACTCTACTGCTGTTGCTCTTATTTTAATAAAATCACGATTTGGCCCAAATTTTTCATATTGCTGCAGATTACAGTAAATCTGCACTCAGTGGGTAAAGCTAACCTTTCAAAAGAACTTGGCTGGGAAATTGAAAAGGTCAAGATTCAAAGGAGATAACACAGGAGAGAACCCCAGAGGAAACACAATCATCCATCCAATGCTGGTGCATCCACCAGCCCCAAAGGAAAGGAGGGAAGCAGCCCCAGAGCTCCTGTTCCTCTGTTAGATCACAGCACATAGGAGAGGTTCCAGAAGACAAGAGAAAAAAACAAAAAAGAAACCCAGGGGTTAGATTTAAATATGCAGAAGGAAAAGTCAGGGAATTACAAACTGGTCACTTAACTGGAACTCCTGGAAAACTGATGGAACAAATAATGAAACAACCTATTTGTAAGCACTTAGGAGATAACAAGATGATAAGTGACTGCCGACACCCATTTGTCAAGAGCAATTTGATTTCCTTCTTCGACAGAGCAACTGGCCTGTGAATAGCTGGAGGAGCAGGCAGTGCTGTATATCTTGATATTCATTAGGTGCTGCTGCACATGGCTCCCTGAGCAGCACAGCAGAGAGAAACTGCTCTAATGTGGGCACACAACTCATCTGAAAAACACAATGGAGGAGCTGGGGCTGCTGATTCACTGTGAGAACGGGAGGATGTGCTGGGCAAGGAGACCTGTCCTGGGCCTGGCACCTCCCAGAATGTCACTGCTGATAAGGGGGATGTGATAAACGTGATCAGCATGCAGGTAGTGTGCTAAGAGAGAGGAAAACACTCCAGGAAACTGGACTAGAGGTCAAACAGTGCTGAGGATGGGAAGGGGTGGCATGGAGCTGGGTCAGGGGAGGTTTAGGCTGGAGATCAGGAAAGGTTTTTCCCCCAGAGGGTGGTGGGGCACTGACCAGGCTCTGCAGGGGCTGGTCACAGCACCAGCCTGCCAGAGCTCCAGGAGAATTTGGACAACGCTCTCAAGCACAGGATGGGATTGGAGTGTCCTGCGCAGGGTCAGGAGCTGGACTCGATGCTCCTTGTGGGTCCCCTTCCAGCTCAGGACAATCTATGACACTTGGAGAGATGTGGAAGAACATCTGCATGAAGCAGGTGGGAACAAAGGGAAACACATCTGTGCAGCACGAGGTGGGCAAGAGCCTGGTTTGGAAACACCATCTCAGCCAGACACCGTGCAGCACAGAAAATCTGCACCAGGCAGCCTGACCCTGGCTGAGAGGTGAGCACTGGCATGGACAAGCTGCTCTCCAACCTGCTGCTGCCCAGGGAAATGCAGGAGTCACCATCTCTTGAGGGAATTAACAGCTGTGAGGATGTGGCCCTTGGGGACAGGGGTCAGCGGTGGCCTTGGCAGTGCTTGGCAGAAAAAAACCCCAACAAGGCAAGCAGGAAATAAAAAAAGCAGGTGAGGAAAGGAAAATTAATAAAAAAAAAGAGTTTTCTATGGCCCAGATGAGTTCAGCCTCTGTGCTAACCACACATGGGGGAATGGTTGAACTCAGTGATCCTGGAGGGCTTTTCCAACCTAAACAATTCTGTGATTCTCTGACTTGAACTGCAGCAAAGATGAATGAGGTTGGACATGATGGAAATGCCTTCTGTAGGGCAGGGTGGCCCAGGACACTGTGAGATCTCCATCACCAGAGGTTTCTCTGAAGATATAAACTCCAAACACCTACCAAACCTACCCAGACCAGCCCATGACACTTCCCAGCCCCAGGGCAGTCTCTCCTCCAGTGCTGACCAAACCCCTCTGAAAAACCTTCAAATCTTCAGCCATGCAATCCTGCTACAGGAGCCACAACGGAGCTGTGTGGTGGAGAACACTCCCTCCTGCTTGCTTTAAACACACTGCCCAAGGCTTCACCAGGTGAAATGCTGAAAAAATCTCCCAAAATTTTATGTTCTCTCTCCCTGTTGCTGTCTTCAACCCATTCTGTACAGGAAGCTGCTCTAAATCACTGATTATCCCTACAGGCTCTGTGTGGTTTTGAGCTGGGGTAACCAACCCACACCACTGAAATGCAGATTCAGATCTCCATCTGTAGGATCATTCATCAGGTTTGCTCTTGGGAAGGCACAAGAGCAAATCAATGTCCAGCTCAGGATATTCTGTGACCCAGGAATTGGACTCTACAATCCATGGGTCCCCGCCCCTCAGGATATTCCATGATTCTATGATTCTGCATGACCCATGCTGCCAGCCAGCAGCTAACCCAACCCTCCCACCATCTCTGACCCAGAAAAGGGCTGTTAGAGCAGCAACTTCTCCCAGTTAGGGCCCAACTCTGTCCCTCAGTTCCCGACACGACTGCGGCGGCGAGCAGCACTCACCCCTCCACATCCACCCTCCCAGCTCCAAGGCACGCAACTGTTTTAATAGGAAGCCACTAGATGGCTTGCTGGAAGCACTGGAGACTCTCCCTGGAATTTTCTGCACTGGTATTTACTTCTGCAGAGCTCCCCCTCCTCCAGAGCCACTTCCTGAGCCAGCCCAGCGTGCCCAAAGGAGCGAGGGACACGACGTGGCACAGCTCTGGGGGAGAGGGAGCTGCTCTATGGCAGCACAGGGGGCTTCTGGTGCTCTGGGTGTGCTCCTGCGCCCCTGGGAATGCTGTGAGACTGTTCTGGTGCTAAAAAAATGGGATTTGGGAGAGCAACACTCAGCACAAGTGATGCTGTAAAGACACACGAGTGTAGCGGGACTCAAGGCTCACCAGTGCATATCCATATTTTCCATATGCAGATGTCCCTGCTCCAGGCAAGGCTTCCTGTTGGGATGAATGTGATTTATCTGTCCCCTCTCTCTTAGTCAGCTGCCTGGTGAGCTGAAAACATGTCTTATTTTCTCCCATCCTCCTGCAGAGAGGGATGTCACACCCCGATATTTTATCATCCTTCTCGTGGTGGTTCAGCAGCACTCTCAGGCTGGCACAGCCAAAGCCCAGCCTGGCACCAGCTGGGATTCTGTAGCAGCTCAGATAAACTGAGAAATCAAAGATCATTAAAAAAAAAGGCCTGCAATGCACTGCTCAAAGAAGTTGGTGCCACTTAAAATAGGAGGAAAATACACATAGAAAAAGCTGAGTCTGGTGTAAACTGGGTGCAGGAGAGGAGGAAGAGGAGGAGAAGGCAGGTGGCCATGGCTGGGCTCCTCCTCCTCCTCACATGGGGAGAGCTGAGCATGAAGGTCCCCACTGGGGAAACACAGGATGGCGCCAGAGCTGCTTTTTGGGAACTCTGCCTTGGGCCTCCAAGAGATTTGGGGGCTTAAACCACAGCCCCAAAAGGATGGAGCACTGACCCAGAAGCCTCTGGCTGATGAAGGGCTGGGTGCCCCGGCCCAGGCAGGAGCTGGTCTCCTTCTCAGCCAGCAGCAGGATGTGCACAATTAAACAAAAATGGAAAATAATTAGATCTGAAAGAGGTTTGGCTCTCTCTGAGATGGGGCAGAAGGTCAGGCTTAATCCCATCTGCCAGAAAACAGAGGGATCTGGAGAGGGCAGTGCAGGAGAGGGAAGCTGGAGCTGCCTGTGGGCAGGGGGAGAGGGGCTGGCAACACCCCAGGGCACAGGAGCCCCCCTTCAGCCCCTCACCATGCACCCCTGGCCATCTGGGACATCTCATCCTCCACTGCCAGAACAAACCCTCTGGGGCAGCTGAGACTGGGATGTGTTTTGGGATCCCACATCCCATATCCTGACACGGTACCTGTGGTGGGTCACAGGCACTGATCTCATGGCAGCCTCATCAGCTCCCCTGGGCGCTGCTGCAGGTGCTTCCCATCACAGGATTTCACTGCTCTGTGCAACGCCACTGGCAAATCTGAGCACAGAGAGAGCCCCAAAGGTACAGTCCCCTCCTTGCTGCCTTGAAATCCCCCAAAATCCCTGTCCTGCCATTGAACTGCCCTCTCCTTTGGGAGATGAGGTAAGCTAACAACTGACCAGCCCTGCTCTGGGAAAGGATGGGAGCTGCTGGTACTCCAAAGCAGAAAATCCCAGTTTTTATTATGGGACATTTTCTTGGATGAGAAGCTGAATGAAGGTGGGATGTGAAACTACCTTCTACTGAAAGATTACTTAACTGACAGAATTTTGCTGCTAGACAGCCCAGCTGATGCATGTGCAGCATGCCTGAGGATAAATCCAGCTCCAAATATAGCTGGGTCCTGCTTCCAAAACTGAAACCTGTGCTTGTGCTATGAATAGGACCAACACCATCCCCA